AACGAAAAAACAAAACAAAATAAACAAAAACAGGAGAGAGAGAGAGAGAGAGAGAGAGAGAAAGGATTATGGTTTTTTGCAGTTCTCTCAGAAGTGGGTCTGTTATTACAACAGCAGTTTTGTTATAAAAGTAAATTATGGGGCTGGGGACATGCATGGCTCAGTGGTAGAGCACTTTCCTGACATGCAGGAGACCCTGGGTTCAATCCGTAGAACTACAAACAAAACAAAGTAAATTAGGGGCTGGAGATGTGGCTCAGCGGTAGTGCGCTCGCCTGGCATGCGTGCGGCCCGGGTTCGATCCTCAGCACCACATACCAACAAAGATGTTGTGTCTGCCGAGAACTAAAAAATAAATATTAAAAAAAAAATTAAAAAAAAAAAAAAGTAAATTAGGTCCTCTCCTGCATGTTCTTTCGCTCTCAAATGTCTTGCCCTTCTGCCTTCTGGCATGGGATAATGCACAAGAAGTCCTCCGCCTGATACAGGACCCTTGAACTTGAACTCTCCAGCCTCCAGAACAGTAGAAAATAAATCTATTTTCTTTATAAATTTCATCAGGTGTTTTGTTATAGTGTCCCAAAGTGGACTAAGGCACTCATTAAACACTGATTCCGCCAGGTGCAGTGGTGTGCACCTGTAATCCCACCTACACAGGAGGTTAAGACAGGAGGATCATAAATTTGAGGCCAGCTTAGGCAATTCAGTGAAATGTTGGCAAAAAAAAAAAAAGAAAAGAAAAGAAAAGAAAAAAGAAAGAAAGAAAGAAAAGAAAAGGACAGGATCTGGGATGTAGCTCAGCTCAGTGGTCTGGGCTCAGTGATAGTGTCCCTGGGTTCCAACCCTAGTATTAAAAACTAAATAAATAGGTACATTTATAAAAAAATAAATAAAACCAAAACATGAATTTCTCATTCCTCCCTCCACTTTAGCCCTGACAACCAGCATCCTGATTTCTCGGACTCTGACCACTCTGAGCAGCACATATAAATGAAATCATAGAGTATTTGAGACAGTAGCATTTTTATTTGTCAAGTGATAAAATCAAGAAGGTACCATGCACAGGTCTGGGATACCCTTAGACTCCTGCAGAGACAAGGAGCAGGGTTTAATTCAACCATCTATTGCTGTCATTTAGTTCCATAGCCAAAGATTGGGGTGTTGGGGGATACAACAGTGAATAGGACAAAAAGGTCCCTGTTCTCACGGAGTTTCCATTCTAGAAGAAATGGCAGATGGAAAAAAAAAAGGAACTCATAAATCAGAGAATTAAGGGTTTGACAAATACCAGGGCGAAAATGAAACTGAGGGTGGTGGGGTGACTTTAGCTGTGGCGGTCAGGAGAGGCCTCTGTGAACTTGACATTTGAGCTGAGACCTGAGGATGCAAAGACTTTGGAAAAAGCATCGCAGGCAGGGTGTCAGTCCACTTTCTGCCGCTGTGGCGGGATACCGCAGACTGGGGAATTTGTAAACAAGAGAAGTTGATTTGGCTCTGGGCTCTGGAGGCTGGGAAGTCTGGCAGCTTGGGGCTGGCATCAGGAGCGAGCCTGCTTGCTGAGTCATAAAATGGCAGCAGGGCAGGCTATCACATGCCAGGCAGAGGAAATTGAAGGAATTTATCCTTTTGATGAGACACGTACTTCCTTGATGAAGCATCTATCCATTTAAGATCTCACCTCTTTTTTTTTGTTTTTGTTCATGGTACTGGGAATGGAACCCAGGGGTGCTTTACCACTGAGCCACATCCCCAGTTCTTCTTCTTATTATTATTATTTTATTTTGAGATAAGGTCTCCCTAAGTTGCCCAAGCCCCTGCCCCTTCATGCTGTTCCAAAGGCAACATGAGTTTTAGAGGAGACACTCAACTCACAGAACAGCAGTGGTAGCAAGTACAAAGGCCCTGGGGTGAGAATGAACTTGACTTATTTGAGAAGCAGCCTGGAGGGCGGGGTAGTAAGTGAGTCAGGCAATAGTGTAGTCAGTGAGGGGGAGAGAGAGACAGGAGGGACAGGCAGGGGGAGAAATACTGTAGACCTTACACACATTGATGTGTCTATGGCTTTATTTCTCATGGGTAAATAACTAGTGGTGGGTTTGCTGGAAGCTGGGTAGGTGAATACTTAAGAAGCTCCCAAAGCAGTTGCTCTAGTCTCATGTTTCCACCAGCAGTGTATGAGATTTCCAATTGCTCCACGTCTCTGAATGACACTTGAAAGGGTCAATCTCTTTAATTAGTCATTTCAGCGGGTGCATGGTGATGTCTCCTTGTGGTTTTCATTTATATTTCCCTAATGACTAATGATGCCACATACTTTTCCTCATGTTCAGTAGTGGCTATATGTGTCTCTTCTTCGGTTAAGTGTTCAAAAAACCATGGGACAATTTTTTTTGGGGGGGGGCGTGTACTGGAGATTGAACCCAGCATTGCTTTACCACTAGGCCATACCCTTAGCCCTTTTCATTTATTTTATTTTATTTTATTTATTTTGAGACAGGGTCTCACTAGTGGCTCAGGCTGATCTTGCACGGGGATTCCAGGCATATGCCACCACGCCCAGCTCTTAGGGCCATTTTTTAGAATTAGAATATTTGTCTGATTTTTTTATATTTTGCAGTGCTGGGGTTGGAACCCAGGGCCTAAAGTATGTGAGGTGGCTCTGTCCCGTTGAGCCACCACCTCAGGCCTGTTGGTCTGATATTTCAAAAAGCTTCCTCTGGCTGTCGGGGAGGACAGCAGCAGCTTCCACAGAGGTCACTGCCTGATTTCCAGGAAAGCCGACTTTGGCCTTGGCCCACTCTTGGCCTGGGCCCACTCTTGGCCTGCTGCCAGGACAGGTGGGGCCACTTTGCAGGTCTTGTGTGGAGACCTTCAGTCCAGCTTCCTCAGCCCGGCATCTTTGGAGGCAGAGGCCAGACAGTGGGGATACCGTCCATTTTATCTTCCTTCACCCAAAGGGGGAATCTTAGCTGCCCATCAGGCCCAGAGACCAGCCCAGGCCACTGCGTTCTGTGCTCTACGCCAGCACACCTGCATCCACTGCAAAAACATGGAGGTATTTCACTTCTTTCTGATAAAGATACTGTTAACTCATGTCTTATAAATGTCTGCATCAGGGGCTGGGATTGTGGCTTGCTTAGCATGGGCGGGATCCGGGTTTGATCCTCAGCACCACAAAAAAATAAAGGCATTGGGTTGTGTCCATCTACACTTAAAAAATAAATATTTTTTTAAAAAGTGTCTGCATCACTCCAATCCCCTTGGGACCCCCTTGAACTTCACACTAAAAAGGGACTCCAGGACTTCAGCCCAGCCCACAGGCCACGTTTGTTCTGACTGGATGGTGCCTGGGTGATCCGACTGTCAGACTAGATGTCTTCTGGGGACAGCCCAGGGGCCTGGCTGGAGTTGGAGGCTGGGTCAGGAGGCTGATGCTGAAGGGCTGAGGGAGGGTTTTTATCAAGCCCAGAACTCAATACGGGGCGGTACTAACACCAATATCAATAATGAGGATGGTAATTAACATTTCTTGAGCCCTTGCAGTTGTGCCAGACATTCTAAGAGATGTTACAAAACCCGACCACCGCAGCAGGCTGCCTGCCCCACTTCCTGCTCCCACCCACAGCCAGAGGGAGCCTGGGAACACCTGTCAGGTGAGGGCCCTGGTTACCCTGCTGGCTCCCTTTGCTCTGGGGTGAGGGTGGGGTGGGGAGGGAGGGCACAGGGTCTCTTCCTCCAGGCTTGCTCTAGACCTAATGGGAAGGTTCTGGGTTCTTTAGGGATCAGACTTGGCCAGACCTAGGGGCAGCCGTGAGCAGCCAGCCTGGCCCTGACCCTCCAGCAGCCCCCAACTCCCCAACCCTCCCCTGCTGGCACTCAGCGTCTGCCCCATGACCAGCACCCAGCTTCCCCTTTTCTCTCCTGCACCCAGGCCTGGGAGTGCTGGGGTGTGACGTGGGGACGGGGGAGGGGGCTTCCTGCAGCTGGCTCACCCCCAGCACCCTGACCTCAGGTTCCTCCTTCTCCTGCCCCTGCCTCAGCTCCCACTGGGAGAGAGAAGTCCCTGCCTCCTCCTGGTGCCCTCCCTCAGTCCCTGTTCCCAGCCACTTCCTCCTCAGGCAGGCAGCTCAGTGGTCACCGCGTTGCCCTCCCCCATCTCACCTAAACCCAATCCTGTCTCTGTGGTGTGGTTTCTGTGACACGAATTCTTACTTTCTCTCTCTTCTTTGCCATCATTTTTTCCTTCTCCATCTTTCGTCTCTTTTTTCTTCCCCCTAAGACTTAACATCACCGTCGTGCGTTCGGTTTTCACTTTTATTTACCGTGTGAACTTAGGCAAGCGTCTTTACCTCTCTGTAAAATGGGAATAAGAGCATCGACCTCAGAGGAAGTTTGTGGGGATTAAATGATTTAACACTTGGGACAGAGTACTATATGTCATGGTGCCTAGATGCTGAGGCTCTCAATATTCTATGCACAGCACAAGAGTCTGATTACCAGGGCTGGGGAGGTCGCCCCGTGGTGGAGAGCTTGCCTAGAACACACAGGATCCTGGAATTGGTCCCCAGGACATCCCCCTCCAAAGGGGTCTGATTATCAAATAATTATAGCTGACAGGTGCCAGACCCTGTTCTAAGAACGTTAATTCATTGAGTCCCCTACAACAACCCCACAATTAGGCACTGTTTTCCTCCTAGTCTTACAAGTGAGGCCTAGAGGCTGATGATGCTCAAGGCTGCCTGGCCAGGAAGAGGCAGGACTGGCTTCACTTATACTCAGGAGTGACCCCCCTGATACAAGGCTGCTGACCCCTGACTGGTGATGGGGGTCAAGAGCTGACTCAGGTACCCTTCGCCCTTCACCTGCAGCTGTTAGGTTCTGCGTGCTGCGCAGGCCCTGGGCCTGATTCTTTCTGGTGCTATCTCTGTCTGTCCTTCCTCCTCCCCTATTGTCCCCTCCTCCCGCTGCACCACCCACCTCAGACTTCCTCCTTCACTTGGTTGGAAGCCACATCGCATCCCACTGGCCCCTGGACTGTGGTGTCCGGCAGTGTCCAGGAGTCATGGGGGACCTGGATCCCTCGTGGCGGCTCCCGATCCTTCTCCTCCTGACTGTGGCTGGTGAGTTGGGGGCTTCTGCAGCTGTGTCCTGAGGCCCCGGGTTCAGCTAGCAGCAGAGCAGTGTGGTTCTGGTGAGAACCAGAGGGGAGGTTGGKTGGAAGCAGGTCCGCGTGGAGCCCCTGGGTCTCTAAATCTGAGCCCCCAAGATTCGGCTGGGGTGGGGGRAGGGGACCATCTAAGGGTGTTGCAACAGGACAAACGGGCAGAGAAGTCACATGGCATCTAAGCCTTGGCGCTAGTCCCCTCCCAGGTCCCACCAGATACAACTTTCTGCTTTTTCTGGCTTCTAAGGCCCACTACCAGCCATAACCCTGTGCCTCAGTTTACCTCTTTTTCCCTCCTCAGGTCTCAGTCCTGTCCAGGCTCAGAATGGTAGGCCTAGACCCTGCGGTCCCTCTCCCTCCCTCCCAAAGACCCTTCCCCAATCCATTCAAACTCCCCCCTGCTGACACCCACCCCCTAATTCCCAAAGCATATAGACCTCCCCTCACCCATGTGCCATATTCCCAGAATGCAACTGCTCCCCAGTGAGCGGCGGCGTGCTGGCGGGGATCGTGCTGGGGGACCTGGTGCTGACCCTGCTCATCGCCCTGGCCGTGTACTCACTAGGTCGGCTTGTCCCTCGGGGACGAGGAACTGCAGCAGGCGAGTGGGGCTGGCAAGAGATGGTCGGGGACCCTGTAAGGGAGACACTGGTGGTGGGGTGTAAGCTCCCAGGTCACAAGCATCCAAAGGGCTGGAGGGAGAAGGGCTGGTTTTAAGACAGCAATATGGCTGGGTGCGGTGGCGCACACCTGTAAGCTCAGTGACTTGGGGGCTGAGGCACGAGGATGGCAAATTCAAGGCCAGCCCAGGCCACTTAGCAAGACACTGTCTCAAAATAAAAAATAAAAAAGGGCTGGGGATGTAGTTCCATGGGAAAGCAACCCTGTGTTTAATTCCCATTATCAAAAACAAAAACAAAAAAGAAATGGTTCTAGTTTACTATCCTGTCCATCTTTGCACCCTGTGTCACCCCTTTGTCCCTCTGCAGGGACCCAGAAACAGCACATCACTGAGATGGAGTCACCTTATCAGGTAAGAAAACCAGATTCATTCCCACATCTTTCTCCTGCCCATTCCTCTGGGCATCTGGATTAGGGACACCCCCATGTCCTCCTGAGGACCCTAATGCCCCTTTCCCAGGTGCTACCCCATAACTAGAAGGCAAATGGGACATCTGTCCAAAAGCACACTCGGTGATAAACTGCAACCTTAAGCTTAGCTTAAAATGTGTGGAGCAGAAATAAAGGGGTGTCTTGCCTTTGTAAGATCAAAAACAAGCCTTATGAGGCCCCAAATTGTTCTGGAAAAAAGCTTAGCCCTAGGAGAGGGCTAGAAGAAGCCCTCAGTAGGACAAAGAATGGAATTCAGCCCTAGTTTAGTGACTCAAAAGAGAGGAATCTTAGAATTTGAGGAATGGGAACCCTAAATTCTTTTGAGAAGTAATCAAAGCTAGAGACTCTTGAGAAAAATCCACCCACAAAAATACAAAGCCATGCGTATAACCCCAGAGGTACTTCAAGTGATGTAGACAGAGGTATCTCTCTAGTTCTCCTTCTGCTAAGGCTCCTTCTTAATCCTTTAGGGGCGTCATGAGATCCTGAGACCTTCCTGTCCTTAGAAAAAGGCACACAGGAGGCGGGTTATTGGTATATGAGTTCAGGGATTCTACCTAAGGCCTGCCCCCTGGGACCACAGACACCTCTTATTTGTGAGCCAATTTATTATCCGTAATCAGCTTTGTTGGCTTGCTTCACTTGTAGATTGAATGTTTCTTTGCAAAGTGTAAAAATCTCAAATTGGTTCTGTGAGGTCCTGAAGACTGAGAAAGCTTTCCTGTTATTGATAGCAGTGAAATTTTAGGCAAAGCGTTACCCTGGTCTATTTATTCCTTCAGTAGATTTGTTGAGCACCTACATATATAGCAGAATTTACATCCTAGCTGGGGAGATGGACTTGAAGCAAATTAACAACATCATTTTGGAGAGGCACCATGAAGAAAATAGAGCAGGCTGTGTGATAATGAGTGGGGTGTGGGAGAAAGACACTATAGATGGGGAAATTGAGAGCTGAGACTTGAAGAGGGAGAAAGAGACTGAAGGTCTACAGGACTGGTGTTCCAGGCAGAGGGCATCATAGCACATGCAAAGGCCCTGGGGCTGGCTGGGCATAATGGTGAGTCAAGGAAAGGTGGATGCTGAATTCAGGTGAATAAAATCCAGATCTCTTCGACCGCCATGTTTGAAGAAGTTTCGGGGGGGGGGGGGGGCAGGGGACTTGAAGACCATTAGGAGAAGTCTGGATTTTGTTTGAAATTTATTTGGTGAACCCCTTCCACTAATGTCCTTCATTCCTTTTAGGAGCTCCAGGGTCAGAGGTCAGATGTCTACAGTGACCTCAACACACAGAGGCAGTATTACAAATGAGCCTAGTCAACGACCCATATCTGGATCCAGTCACCTCTGTTGCCCACCCAGCTCATCATTCCTACTCCTACTAGGAAACAGTTCCATGGAGAGTCCTCCCTGGGATTTTAGACCTCTCCCCACTAACGTTCCCAAATAAACAATAGAGCGCAAAAATATTGTTGAGTTATGCCAGACCCTTGGGTTAAAGGATTGGGGATTTGCGGGGTCCTGAGAAGGGTCTTGAACACAGAAACAGCTAAGTGAGGGGAGTTTTGGGGAATCCTAAGGTTCTTTGGAGAAGAATCAAACCAGAGATATTTGAACCGCTTTATTCAATCCAAAAGGGTGGGGGTGGTGTACATGTTCCTGTGCCATCACACACGATTCAGGATGAGAGGGTCAGAAGTCAAAGGTTGAAGTTAYAGGAGGTCAGCCTCTACCAGGCACGTTGATGTAGATTTTGTCATTTTCTGGGGGTGGGGGAGAGAAAGCATGAAGCCTGACCACCCACCACCCACCCCACATCTCCACCTTCCTGGGGACCCCCTGCCTTAGGGGTTTCCTCAGGGATTCCCCCAGACCCCTCCCCCAGGGTTTCCCCAGCACCTCCTCCAGGGCTTCCCCCGGGGCCCCTTCCTTGGGACCCCTCTCTTGGGAGGCCACCGCCCCTCCAGGCCCCGCCCTTACCATGGTTGAGCCTCCGTCCTGGGCGTGGGCGGGCATACACCAACACCACCCCCACAATTATCAGTGACATGATGGCATCTGCAGCCACCAGGCCCGCCAGGAGAAGTGGGGAGAGGGGCCCACATCCGGAACAGGAACCTGGAGGGTGGGGCCCAGACAAGAAAGTGGCTGGGGGGGGGGTCCTGGTTCCCTGGGGCTGTGCTTTGGCCACAGGGAGAAGAGGAAGTCCCCTGTGGGGGGGTGTGGATCCCAGGTGGTGCATGGAGAAGGAAAGATGGAGACCGGTAGCAGCAGCAGTGTCCCAGGATTCCAGGGAGACTGTGCAGTGGGCACATAGGCCACAGGCTAAGGGAGGCTGGGGTCCTCTTTTTCCCTGGGGCTCAGGGAGTGGTGGTGAGGGGGCAGGATGGGACCTGGGGAGGGTGGCAGATCCTCTGGGGAGTCAGAGTTGGGGAGAGGACGTGAGCTGGTGACCACAGAGCCATGGAGGCGGGGCATTCTAGGACCCTCAGGCCAGGCTTTAGAGCTGGAAGCAGTACCTGAAGTTCCAGGGTCAAAGGTAGGGCGCGATGGCTCACCTGTGGACATCTGGGCAGCAGCAGCTGTGGAAGGACAGGGGAGGTGGGTGAGGTGGCCCCAGAGCAGGGTTGAGGGGAAGCTGATATCCTGAGAAGGAACCTCCACTCTGGAGGGACAGAATGGGAAAGAGGGTCAAGTGAAGAGGGAAGCTCCCAGGGACACAGAGAGACAGAAAATGGGAAGTAGAAGCAGTGACTACCGATGACAAGGGGAGGTTAACAGGCCACCGGCCACTCCGGAGCTCCCCTCCTCCCTCCCTCCCTGCCAAGGCCCAGCCCTGATGCAGAATGATCTCCAAGAAGAGAAAGGGCGCAGGCAGAAGGGCCTGCCCTCACCACCCTGCCTTCAGATGTCACCCTTCCCACAAGTMCTTTGCCTGCCACCACCCCCCATAGCCCCTGGCTTCACCTGGGAGCAAAAGCAGGAGCAGTATGTGGCCTGGAGGGGTCATGGTGGACTGGGGGCTGAAGGGATCTGGCTGTGGTCCAGAGAAGTCCTGAGGAACAGTGGGGGAGTAGAGAGGTAACTATAGCGGATGTCACCCTGATGGTGGCAAGGCCACTTACTTCCTGTGTATGTGTGTATGCGTGGGTGTCTCTATGACTCTTTGGGGAACAAATTTTGGGGGAGGGTCAGAGAGCCCAGGAAAGCTGCTATGATCATCTAGGGAGATTCTGGAAATATTTTAGAGGTACAGCCAACATTTGCTGGTGGAGTGGATGTAAGTGTGTAGGCAAGAGGGATCCAGGATGACCAAAGTTTCTGGCCCGAGTCATTGAAAAGATGGAGTGTGGATGGAGAGGGAAGTGGCAGAAGCTGGTTTGGGAGGCAAGCGCTGAGTTTCAGGCATACGGAGTTGGAAAATGTCTGACACAGCTCCCTGTGGAAATGTAGAATGCTCAAAGCTGCATTTATGAATTCAGGGGACAAGTCTGGTCTGGGGATGTCAGTTCAGGGGTTGATGGCCTAAAGTTGGTATTTAAAGCCACGAGGCTGGATGACATCACCAAAGAAGTGAGTACAGACAGATGATAACCCCACACAGGGGCCCCTTCCACACWGAGAGAGAGAGAATGGGAGAAGGGGACAAACCGGCCAGGGAAATGGGAGGAGGAGGAGCAAGGGGGGGGGGGAGACCCACAAGAGCGGAGTCTTGAAAGCAGAGGAGAAATTTGGTCACTGTTGTCAGTGTTGAGAATGGCCACCAAATGGGAAGTGAGAATCTCCTCCCTCTGGAATGGCTTGAGGGCTGGGAATTCCTGCCTGTTCAGTTCTCACTTGTATCACAGCACCCAGCAAGGCGCCTCCCGGGACAACAAATTATTAAAATGATAAAAGAATAAATGAAACCAGACTTCGGAGGCCATGTGGGAAAGAGCGTGAGATTTGAGCCTTATCTTTCCTCCCTACAGACCAGGAAGTCCAATCCCCGGGGCCCTTCTCCCCGCAGGACCCAGTAATACTACTCCGTCCACCCCAGCCCAGAGCCTCAAAGTCAAGGTCTCTAGAAAGGTCTCTAGTCAAGGTCTCTAGCTGGAGGCTCTGGACCTCTCCGGATTCCTGATTCCCTTTGGACAGACTCAGGAGTCTAGGTCCCGAGTGTCACCCTTCTCCTTGAGTTTGGTATCAGGCTCCTTCAGGCCAAAGATCTAACCCCCAACTCCCTTTTTCTGGGGAGACTTGTTTGACTCAGCCCCGCCCATTTAGAAACTGAGTTTACTGGGGTGTGACGTGGGGACTCCCAGGGCTGAGGGCGGGGCCCTGCCCTGCACTGGGCGGTGCCAGAACCTAATTTAAAAACTCGCGGGGACCCTATTCAAGATCGGGGACCCGACGGCGGCTCCGAGGGAAACAGCGAGGCTGGCGCAGCGCCGAGGCCGCGGCCCTGGGGGCCCACAATCCGCGCCACGGAATCCCCGAGGTACTAGATGGGGGGATGGTGAGGTACCTCGGCTCTTAAGAGAGTGACAGCCTGAGGTCTGGACTTTGGGGTCCTTGAGGGACAGAGCTGGAACCCCAAGATCTGGGCTCTGAGATCGAGTACCCAGTGTTTGAGGGTAGCAGGGGGTCCGACCCCCGGCTCGGGATGGAGGAGTGCCAGGATTCTGCAYTCCTGGGTTTTGGGGGCGTTGGGGACTGGAGATCCAGAATCCTGGTTCTCGGCGGTGCGAGAGCTGGGAGGCCAGACTACTGTGTCCTGTGGAAGGAGAGGGATGGTGGCCCGGACTCCTTTCCCCAGAAGGACCCGCTGCAGCGAGCTCTTGGGGGCGTGGTTGTTTAAAATCTGCCCCTGATCTTAGTGGCGAAGGTCCGGCACCTGGCGCAGGGTCCACGCTGGCAGCGACCCTGCCCCTCCTTGGGGTTTCCCAGAGCGCCACCGGCCCAGGTCCCCCAGCTGGGCAGGAATTCCCCGCGTGCGGGGATTCCAGGAGTGCCACGCTTGGCTGCGCGCCCCGCCTTCGAGCGGGACACCTGCGGCGCGGGGCGGGAGCGGAAGGCGGAGATGGAAGATTCCCTTGCGCGAGCGCCGTGACGTTAGCGCGCAGTGTCTGGGCGGTTTCCGAATCTGCTCCACGCCGGCTTAACCCTTCTGTCGCCGGAACCCAAGCTCGGCAGGTTGTGGTGGAAGGGCTGGTCTTCCCGGGTGACAGAAAGGAGGAGTCTGAAAACCTGGACTCCCCGGTCCTGGAGAGGAGGGGGCTGAGGGCTTGGACCCCCGCGTCCTGGAGAGGAGGACGCGGGACTCCCGGACTCCTGCGTTTGCGGGGTGGACCCTGGACTCCAGGTTCTGAAGAGGTGGAGCTGGAGGCTCTGGACCTCTGGATTCTGGGGAGCTGGCGGGGGGGGGGGCTACTGGCTCGTGATTCCTTGGGGGAGGGGACCTGGGGGCTCAGACGCTTGGTCTCCCGGGGAACAGTAAAAGAACGTCAGCTTCATGGGAACCCGGTTGTGCGTCTCTGGGGAATGGTGGCTGGCGACGTTTCCCCTACCCCAGGCCTCAGAACTGGAGATCTGGGGGTGGGATTTTTCACAGAAGTAGAGGGGTGCTCTCCCCCCTCCCCTTCCTCAGTTTCCACGACGCTGGTGGAAAGTTGGGTCAGCGGGAAAGTGCGGAGCAAAGAGAAGGAAACGGCGGAGGCGGGCACCGCACTGAAAATCTTCTATTGGCTTTGGAGTTCTCAGGCGGCATCTGTGTGCCAGTTTTTCCGCTCACGGGAGGGCGAGATGGGTGCCCACATCCACTCCTCCCCCGCTCTGAGTGCATTTAGACGACTTAAGGACCCCTGACGACTTCCTTCTCTCCTCCCCAACCAGTGAGCCGAAATGAGCGCAGCCACTGCCCAACACAGACGGTGAAGAAACTCCTGGAAGAACAGAGGCGTCGCCAGCAGCAGCCTGACGCTGGTGCTGTACCGGTGAGGCCTGAGAAGCACTTTAAAAGACAGCTCTCGCTGTGCGCCTGTAATCAGCCACTCCGGAGGCTGAGGCAGGAGGACTGCAAGTTGGAGGCTAGCCTCAGCAAATTAGCAAGACCCTGTCTCAACAATTAAAAAATAAAAAAATAAAATAAAAAAGGGTTGGGAATGTAGCTCAGTGGTAAAGCGCCCTGGGTTAAATTCCTAGTACAATGAAAGAAAAAAAGGCGGGGGGGGGGGGGGGGGGGGGGGGGGGGGGGGGGGGGGGAGCAAATCTCAAGAGGCCATGTGCTTGTTGGGCCCTCAGAACTGATAAGAGTTATAGTTCTGACTCTGATGCCCTAGAGGTTGGAAACAAATGCCGAGAAATCTGGCAGATTAATTCTCCCTTGTTCCTTTTTGCTTATGTCTCTACAGATTCAGTTCTCCCCTCCCCTGACCCAGCCCCTGACCCAGTCTGTGAATGAGGCCGAAGCTGGTAAGTCTGGAAACTCATCTGGTTCCCTGAGCTCCCAGCCCCAGCCTCCCTCAGGCCCTCAGACACCCCAACTCTTAGAATTTTAGGGAACAGGGGGTTCAGGTTCACATTTTTTCTGGGACTTACTAGAAATTTGATCTAGTTTCTTTGGATCCCAATCATCTATGCACGTGAGCCCCAGGCTTCCACCTTGTGAGGACCCCACAAATCCAGGTTCCAGTTTGCCCCTGGGTATTCCAGGATCCCAGGCCCCAGCCCCTTAGTGTCCCAGAAATCCTTGTCTGAGCACCTTGTGACTCAGGCTCCTCCTTCCCTGACTGTGACTCCCCCAAGCTCTGGTAACCAAGCCCCCACCTGCCCTCCTCTCACATACAGGCCATACTCACTTCCCAACAATCCAGGAGACTGTGGGTTCTGGAATTGGCACCCTGGCACCCCTGACCAGCTTTCCAGACTGGGACCCCAACACACATGCCGCCTATACAGACAGCCCCTGCTCTTACCCTGCTTCTGCTGCTGAAGGGTTCCTGAATCCTGAGTTCTACCAGCCCTCGGACTCAGGGCGATCCTGTGCATTTTCCCTAGGGATGGAGGTGAGAAACAGAATGAGGAAGGATGCTGAAGGGCTTCGAAAACTTCCCAGTTGCCCTTGGGCAGTATTCTGAACTATGGAATGGGATTAAAATCCCATTCCCCAGACTCGCAAAACAGGCCCAAAGGTTCAAGGTCACTTGGCATAGACGGGGTTCCCAGCCCTAGCCACTTGACCAGAGGCTGTGTATATGTATGTGTGGTGGGCTGGGAAGGGGAATTCTTAACTGACTGACTGTCCCTACCCCTTCAGGACCCCCTGAACACTCGGCTCTATGCAGAACCTTCCCTGTCACAGGCAGAATCCTGGAGAGTTTCTGGGCCCCCCTCAGTACCCCCACCATTGCTCCCATCCACTGGACCATCCTTGGAGACAGCCCGAGCTCATATGCTGGCTTTGGGGCCACAACAGCTGCTGGCCCAGGATGAGGAGGGAGACACGTGAGTATAGGGGAAACGGGGGTCATCTGCACACTCCTGAGTCAGCAGGGGGACTCTTCTCATTGCTTCCCCCTACCTGTCCGCAGGCTCCTGCACCTGTTTGCGGCTTGGGGACTACGCTGGGCAGCRTATGCTGCAGCAGAGGTGCTCCAGATGTACGGACATCTGGACATCCGTGAACATAAGGGCAAGGTGAGGGATAGAGGCCTAGATTTCTGGGTACAGGGGAGGAAAGAGCTGGGGGTTGGAATTCCTGGATCCTGGAGAAGGGAGCAGTATGGGCCCTGACTTCTGGGTCTGAGGGTGGAGAGGGCTGGGAACCTAGATTCCTGATTCTCAGAGGGGAGATTGCTCGGGGCCCAGACTGATTTTTCCCATGACCTGCAGACCCCTCTTTTGGTGGCTGCTGCCGCCAACCAGCCGCTGATTGTGGAGGATCTGTTGAACCTGGGAGCGGAGCCTAACGCCACGGATCATCAGGGACGTTCTGTCTTGCACGTGGCTGCTACCTACGGGCTCCCAGGAGTCCTTTCGGTATGGTTAGCTGGCAGGCAGGTGTCTGGGGTGGATTGGTTGCCCAGATCCTGATCCAGGGCTAGGAGGCCTGGGGAGACCCTTTCACAACATCTTTTTCCTCCTCCTAGGCTGTGTTTAAATCTGGTGTTCAGGTGGACCTGGAAGCCAGAGACTTCGAAGGTAAGCTATGTGTGGGCRGGGCTGGCATGGCGGCGAGGCTGGGCGAGGTGGGTGCCCCAGCTGTAGGTCCCTTACTCTCTCCATTCTACAGGACTCACACCCCTCCACACAGCCATCCTGGCCCTCAATGTTGCTATGCGCCCACCCAGCCTCTGTCCTCGGACACTGAGTACCCAAGCCAGAGACAGGCTGAATTGTGTCCAGATGTTGCTGCACATGGGTGCAGATCATACCAGCCAGGTGAGCTAGGCTGTGGATGGCTGGCCCATAGGAGGGTGTGTGGGACAGGGTCACCTGGATGTCCAGGGACACTAAACAAAGCCTGAGTTTGCCACTCCCTAGCTGTGTGACCTTGAACATGTTACTTCTCTGTGCTCTAGTTGTCAACTTGGGGTACTGTCACGGATCTTAGCTTAGATTTATCTAGCACTTAATAGTGATCAAGCACCAAATTTTATATATTAACTTATTGGATCCTCACAAGAACCTTGTAAGGCGCATGCTATTATTTCTTTCTCCATTTTACTAACTAGGAAACTGAAGCACAGGGAATCAGAAATCTTAAAACTTGTGTGTCAGAGAGAGAATTAGAACCCAGGGAGTCTGACCCTAAAACCCAGCTCTAAATCATATTATCCACCTTTGCCATGAAGCTTCTTTGCAGGCTCGATGAGAGAATGAAATATCACTTAATTAAAAACAATTTTTGGCTGGAATTGTGACTCAGTGGTATAGCGCTTACCTAGCATGTGTGAGGCACTGGGTTCGATTCTCAGCACCACATATAAATAAACAAAATAAAGTCCATTGACAACTAAACAGATATTTWAAAAAAAATTTTTTTAAATCAAGAATTTTAAACACAGATAAAGTGTAGGAATACTAGAATGAATTCCACATACCCAATATCAGTAATCAGCAACTCATGGCCAGTGCTGCCATCCACTCTCCCACTTTCCTGTTTTTTTTTGTTTTTGTTTTTTTTGACCSTGCTGGGGATAAAGCTCAGGGCCTTGCTCCTTCCCTAACATACCATTGAGCTACAACCCCAGTCTTTGTGTCTTTAAAAGTTGCCTCCCCCTTCCCAGTACCACTATTACACCTTAAAAGATTAGTGATCTCATAATCTCAAAAATCCTGGCTGTGTTCAAATTTCCTTTTGGCTCTAAAGTGACTTTTTTTGTTCATTAAAAGTAATTAGGGGACTGGGGATATAGCTCAATTGGTAGAGTACTTGCTTCACATGCACAAGGCCCTGGGTTCAATCCCCAGCACCACACACACACACACACACACACACACACACACACAAGAAAGTAATTAATAACCACATATTACAACGATGTCTTTTTAAAGTTACTTTTATTTTAGAGCTCCTCCTTCCATCTCTTTGTGTTCTCATCATAATTTGGTGAGCAAAATAGGTTGTTTTCCGAATACAAGCACTTAAAATTTTTGATGTTCATTAAAAATGTGCAGTAATTCCATAAAGGCAGGTAATGAAGTTTCTTTTTAGAAAATGTCTATTTTCCCCCAAAATATGGAGGGCATGGGCTGGGGTTGTGGCTCAGCAGTAGAGCACTTGCCTAGCACGTGCAAGGCCCTGGGTTCTATCCTCAGCACCACATAAAAATAAATTTAAAAAGTAAAGGTATTGTGTCCAACTACAACTAAAAAACAAAAATTAAAAAAAATACGGAGAGAGCAACTCAACATTGCAGTGGATATAGGCTTAGTCCACTGATTAATGCCACCGACTCTTATCCTTGTAGATAGAATACAGTCATGTGGGACAGGGTGCACTTTAATGTGTTAGGCAGAATGCAGGACAGCCAGGTAGCTGCAGGCCAGAGTTCCTTTGAGGGATTGGAAAAGGAGCCTGTTTCTCAACAACACTTGAACAGGAAAATAGTCATAGAAAAGGTACAGTTCTGGGGGCTGAGGTTGTGGCTCAGTGGTAGAGCGCTAGCCTAGCATGCAAGGCACTGGGTTCAATCCTCAGCACCGCATAAAAATAAATTTGAAAAAAAGGTATTGTGTCCAACTACAACTAATATATATATAAAAGGTACAGTTCTGTGCTGCACATGGTGTGAATTGCTACCTGTCTCCCTTGGAGGTGGTGCTCTTACACAGCTACAACACATGTAGCTGTACACGGGCACCCCTGGGTAGGGTCTGCAGGAACCCTGAGTTCCATGGGAGGAGGACTGGCCTTGACCTCTGCCATTGCCCCCCACAGGAGATCAAGAGTAACAAGACAGTTCTGCACTTGGCCGTGCAGGCTGCCAACCCTACCCTGGTTCAGTTGCTGCTGGAGCTGCCCCGGGGAGACCTGCGGGCCTTTGTCAACATGAAGGTGGGGACCTAGGCTGGGGTATGCAGGTTGTGGGAGAGAAGGGCAGTAGGGTAGAGGGTCCTGTGGGCTGTGGTCATGGAGGGAACAGAGGGTGGGAGGTGAAGGGGAATGCATAAGACAGACAGAAGGGGGGGTGTGGCATGCGAATACAGAAGAATAAGAGGTGTGGTTTGGAGAACTCAGGCAGCTTAGCCTGCAGCCTTATCAACCCTACCCCCTCTCTTCAGGCCCACGGGAACACAGCCCTCCACATGGCAGCTGCCCTGCCCCCTGGGCCACCCCAAGAGGCTATTGTGCGGCACCTGTTGGCAGCCGGCGCAGACCCAACGCTGAGGAACCTGGAGAATGAGCAGCCTGTCCACCTGCTGCGACCAGGGCCGGGCCCTGAGAGGGTGAGTACTGCGCCTGACCACAGAGGGACCCCCTCCGCTGACCCAGTTTTGACTTTGGAGGGTGACTTCAAATCTCAGAAAATGACCTTCAACCCTTATCCAACCCCGACTTCAAAATGTGATCTTCAGTGTCAGTATCTGGTCCTTTCTGTCCACAGGAGACCTGGTTCTGACTTCTTATCCAACCCTGAGCTCTCAACCCCAAATCTTGACCTAAATGTGCCCTTTGATCTCTCAGTGGATCCTTTGAACTCCTGTCTGTAACTCTGGGTCCTGACCTCAAATGTATTTCCAACTCTTGCTTTAACCCTTTGGTTCTGATTCAGTGCTGACCCGAAGGTCTTGAGACCCCAGGCCAGGGACACCCTTCCCTTCATCTCTGCTCTGCTAGGTTTTTCCTCTCTGGTCCCTCACTCGTGGGTGCCTGTGACTCCCCACTTTCCTCCCAGTCGCCCACACTTTTCACCTTGCCTTTTCTCGTCTACAGCTCCGGCAGTTGTTGAAGAGGAGCCGTGTGGCACCCCCAGGCTTGTCCTCTTAGGACTCAAACCCAGAACCTGGACTGATTTTCCAGTCCCCACCGTCCCGTGGGACAGCCAGCGTATGCTAATGTTGCAAATCCATGATAATGTATGTGGAATGTCCTGCCATTAGGGTCTTACATTAAAACCCCAAAATGGCTGCCGGGAGGGTGAACAGTCCCCAATATTTGGGGTGGTGTGATACCCCTTCCCTACCCTCAAGGAGCCATCTGGATGATTTCCATGAAATCGAGGCTTCTTGATTGTTTCTGTGAAACAACCTGGGCCCTCTGACCCTCTACCCACTAGGGTATTTCAGGATCCTCTCCCCTAACTCAGTCCTGCATGTCTAGAAACCCATGTAACCCTTTCATAGGACTTGGAGCACCTCAGCAGGGTTCCCTAACCTTCCCCAGAACCCACACCCCTCCAGTCCTAACCCCTGAGACATAAGAAGGACCCTGTGGGACTAGTGTCCCTGGGGTCTGTTGCTTTCAGATTCAGTATTCAGTGGAGTCCCTGCCCCAGATCTCAGCATCCCTGTGAACCCTCTCCCCTAATATGAGCCTCCTCTAAGCTCCCTATTAAACTTTACTTAGAACATCACTGTTATCATCTCATTTCTGGGGACATTGGTGCAGGGAGGTGGCTGTCACCCCACTGAGGGGTCACGTATGCATGCATGTGCTCAGCGGGGCATGTAATAGACACTGTGGGTGCCATCAACCTCGACCTACCCAACATTGTGCCCTGATAGCTAGGTCCAGCACCTGTGGATTATTTCTCATGGTGGTAGAGGCTGGGAAGTCCAAGACCTATATGCCACAGGTGCAATTTCTAATGAAGGTGTTCTCTGGTTCTGCAGAGGACCATCTTCGTACTTCACGCATTTTCATACTTCTGGTGTGTCCACTGTGTAAGATGTTGGCAAATCCTAAAATCCAGGGAGTTTATGCTACACATAGTGGTGCACATCTGTAATACCAGCTACTTGGGAGGCTGAGGCAGGAGAACTACAAGTTTGAGACCAACCTGGGCAAGTTAGTGAAACCCTATCTCAAAATTTTAAAAGGGTGATGGTGGTTAGGGATGTAGCTCAGTGGTAGGGCGCATTTGGGTTCAATTCCCAATTTATCACATGTGCGAACATGAATGCACGAGTGCACACGCAAAGCCAAGGAGTTTATTCGAGCTTCAGGTATGGCTCAGTGGTAGCAGGCTTGCCTGTCATATGCAGGATGCTGGGTTTGGTCTCAGCACCATAAACAAGAAAAGAATAAAAGAAAGGCCAGGGAGTTCATGCCTGCCTCTTGGGCAGCCCTCAGCCAGTGACTATTAGGAAATCGTACATACATGCTTCAGGTCCCTCAACGCCCTTGGGATAACTTTTATGTTCTACTCTGGTTCCCAGAGTCCCCCAACAGAATAAATGAAGCACTAGTTTCCCAGAGTGGTTTGGGGGAACTCAAAAACTCCATTTCCCTTCTCTGTGTCTCTTCCTGCCTCCCCTTGCAAGTTTCTCCAACCCTTCCTCCTAAGCTTGACCTTAAGTGCTCGCCTGAGTCAGCTTCTGGGGGAACTCTCTTGAGTTCCTCTGCCATGCCTGCTTCGTATACTCTCCCCACAACTTCAACTCTGGTTGTATTCTAGACGAATCACACCAAGAGCACCCGCCTCAGAAAGCCCCTTGGCCCACCTGAGCCCCTTTGCTCGGAGTCTCTTGAACAACAAATCAAGTATATATTTGCATACCTCAGGAGTCTCCATCCCAATTTTTAAAGCTAAAAATGTTTGCCTCTTAAAATGTTTATGATTCTACAGTCTGAGCTGGGTTTAGCTAGCAGTTCTGTTCTGTAGCTTTGGTCACTCATGTGGCTGCAGTTAGTTGGACACTGCTGGACTGGATCCAAGACAGCCTCACTCGTAGGTCTGCTCTCTGGGCTAAGATTGCTGGATCTGCTGGGAGTGGACCAAGAATATCTCCACGTGGTCCAGGAGGGTAGGTGGATCCCTTCACATGGTGGATAAGGGCTCCAAAAGAGAGCAGGCCAAGGGCTGGGGTTGTGGCTCAGTGGTAGAGCATTTGCCTTGCATGAGCAAGGCACTGGGTTCAATCCTCAGCACCACATAAAAATAAATAAATAAATGAATGCATTGTGTCCATCTACCACTAAAAAAAAAWWTTTTTAAAGAGCATTCCAAAAGAGCATGCCCTTCTTGTATCATGCTCTCCTACATGCCATTGACCAATGTTAGTCATGGGGCCATGCCCAGAATCAGCATGCGGGGTGAGGGGCAGGAAAATTGGGAGACAAGAGTTGGGAAAACTGGGAGACAGAGTTGTCAGGGGCCATTGGTTTAACTCTCCCATCAGCTTCTATATGCCAACCTGTGTCACTCTTATATGTATCAATACAGTGGCAGCTGGCCCCTGAAGAATTTATATGAAGATGCTCTTATTTCATTGATTCTAAGAATAACTTAATTGGAATTCATCTTACAACCAATTGTGTGACATAGTTTAATTTCTGCCCTTTTTCCTTTGTGATACATAAAACAATGGGTTTTTTTGTGGGGTGTGTGTGTGTGTGTTTCTGGGGATTGGAACCAAGGCCTCATGCCCTCTACCATGAAACTATGTTCCCAGCCCAATGATGTTATTTCTCATCATTGATAGCATCTGAAATTTTGTTGACATATATTTATTCCGATTTATATTATTATGGATGTTTATTCCAATTCATATTATTATGTTTGTGTGTCCCTCCCCCAAATCAATATGTTGAAATAACAAGCCCCAATGGGGGTGGAGCCATTGAGAGGTAATTAGGTCATGAGCATGGAACCCTCATGATGAGATTAATAGCAAGACACAGGGGAAAGCTTGCTTGCCCTCTTTCTGCTCTGTCCTGTGAGGACACTGCAAGAAGATGGAGCCATCTGCAAACTGGGAAGCATGTCCTTCTCAGACATAAAATCTGCTGGTACCTTGAGCGTGGACTTTCCAGCCTCTAGAACCATGAGAAAGCCACACAGTCTATAGTATTCTGTTATAGCAACCAGAACTAAGACATGTATCAACACACACACACACACACACACACACACACACACACACACACTCACACACACTCACAAGCCACTAATATGTTAGAATGTCCCTGAAAACCTAAATTATATTAAAAGAAAAATTAATAAAATCATCTTCAGTGTGGCTTAAGGGCACAAAAGCATCAAATGAGCATTATAAAATCAATATGTTCATAAAAATAGCATTTTAAAATGAATTATTCTAAGCATCGCCACTAAAGTAGAAACTTGGTTAAGGAATCGGACACTGACCAGATTGGAGAGAGAATGGCCTTTCAGTCCTGGTCTCACCTGCTCGAAATTCCTTCCCTACTGTTAGCCTGTTGTTCACTCATGGTTGTGAAAACACAAAGACAGCTTTCCCCCAAGCCTGTATTGTTGGCGATAGATTTCTGCTGAGCTCATCTGACTATAACTAAAGACATAACCACTGTTGGAATGATGATGCATCCTGAATTCTCTAACAAAGCTGTGGCGTTGTATCCAACTTGCGTTTTAAAAGCACCTTCCTCCTTACACCTACCAGGGTGTATTTAATATACATGACCTGTATTTACAGGGATATATTATGAAGAACTCTGCTAGCTCATAGGCCCTTTGGGAGAGTTAGAAATAGGTGCTTCCTCCCTAAGCCATCTGTCTGAAAAAAATTATGCTTACATTAGAACATGGCACATTACCGCCATCTGCTGGGAAATTGTGGTAAAAGAGCAAATCTGCAATGTCTAAGGGTGAAGGAATAGTAGGCATGACTTGGAATTTTGCAGTGCACAATTTAAGCATCATATATGACAGTCTTGAATTATTAAATAGTATGTTAGCAAAGTGCTCTAAAGTATATGCACTGGACACAGGATGTCTGTGTTGAATTCCCAGCGCTCATCCTTCCTAGATGATGGAGTCAAAAGGAAATTTGATCTCACTTCTCTCATCCTGCCTTTCCTAAGCTATAGATGGAGATAAATTAATTCCAGTTCTATGGAATGAAAATAATGATGAAGCGCACCCAAGCATGTAAAGTGTGTTGGTACTAGGATCAAACCCAGGGTATCACGCATATTAGGCAACTGCTCTACCACTGGGTCCCCTCCATTGTGTTTTGTTTTACAATTTATTTAACAAACACTTGCTAAGTGGCAGGAACAGTTTTAATATCTCCACAAATATTGACTCTTTTAATCATCATAATGACTGTCTTGGGAATACATCATCTGATGGGACCCTTGAGTATATACATTCCAATAGGTGTTTGCAGACATCACATACACCCCACTGGGACAGGAGACTGGAATTTCCACATTCCAGGGAATCTCCTTTTGACTCCCTAGAAGCTATGAAGACTTGGGATTGGGAAATGATTCCAGATTCCCAGTGCTCGCAGGTTGGGGCAGATGCTGTGTATGATTGTATGGGCGGGTAACTAGAAGGGTGGAGAAACTTGCRGGAACCCAGCAAATAGACACCTGGAAGTCGCAGCCACTTCAGCACCACGGAAAGCTCCTGGGCATGCGCAGAAACCCTCACCTAGGTCTCTGGGCCCTGCCCCCCTGCCCAACCGCCCTTTCCGCCGGCTCCGCCCAGATTTAAAGCTCTCTCTTACTTAGAGACCCAAAGGAGGCCTGGGCAGAGAGGGACATCGCGTCCAGCATATTTACACACTGAATCTTCCATAAAGACATAGGATGACCTGGTAGGGAAGAGGACTTTATTGGGATGTTAGTGGGGAAAACGTGAGCAGGTGAACTCTAGGGAAAAATAGACGCTGGAACCAAAGTGTAAGTAGCAATAACTTACAAAATAAATTAAGGTGAGGAGGTCCAAAGTGGGTTGGCCGCTGGGAATGTCTGGGTATTTCTTAGGGATGGCACTGGAAAGGGGAAATAAGAGTGAACTTGTCAAGACCTCCCTCCCCCACCCTAGGCTGGGAATTGGGGTTCTGGGGCCCCAGGAAGAGGGGAGGTCTGGGCTCAGCTGAAGGCATCAAGGGAGTGGGTTCAGGGTCGTTCCTCCAGGAAGCGGTAGGTGGGGTTCTCATAACCATGTCGCTGCAGTTCACGAAGCTGCTGCTCCTCTAGGGTCAGCATGGGATCCACCTGCAACAGGGGCAGAGGAGGGCTCATGGAACTCAGAGACCTGGCCGCAGAGCTCATGGTCCATCCATGTCCGCACCAGGTCTTTGCGCCTCTCACCTCCACCACTCCATGGCTGATGGCCCCATAGGGCTTCTTCTTGCGCAGGAGCAGCATGGAGAGGACGATGAGGGAGCCCCCACCGGCTCCCATGATCAGCAGACCCGACACAGCCTCACGAGACACTCCTGTCCCCGCTGGTGCCTGAAGGGAGAGAATAAAGGGCCAAAGACATCTTTGAGGCTTATCTAGGTCCTGTGGCTTTGGGAGCCACAGCTTAAACAGTGATCTCTGATCTTTTCCCCCTAAGCACTGWGAATATGCTTCCTCTTACCAGCTCATCTCTCTGGATCTCTGAGGAGTGGAAAGGAAAGCCCCTTGGAACAGACGCGTTCACCTGGGGAAGCAGGAGATATCATGGATCCCAGCCTCTTCCTCCCCAGGAGCCCAAAAGGGGACTCCCCACAGCCTTCTTCTCTCCTAGGACTCCAAAGCCCATGGTTTCAGCCCTCTTTTCTCCTCTGGCCAAGGCATCGAAACCCTTAGCACCTCCCTCCCTCACGCCTAGGGGTCCAGGCTCCCTCTTGTCCTCCCTCAGGTGCCCACAGGTCTGTTTTACTTACCTTTGGCTCATATTGCTCCAAGGGGGTCATCTTCTCTTTTCCAGGTGATGTGTTATCTTGTTCTGTGGACCCTACCCCCCAAGTCCCATCTCATTCTTGAGGGTCCAGAGGGGTGCTGCCCCTGCCTGAGGAGGGGGTCATAAAGGGCACCAGACTCCACCCCAGGAGGTCTGAGGTCCCCAAGGTATGGACCTTTTCCATTCTGGGTTTAGGATTCAGTGGGATTTAGTGACTTGGACACTCACCTTTTGGAAGGGTCATGGGGGTGTCTGCTGGCAGCCAGTGGGGGGAAAGGCAGGTGAAATAGTAAAGAGAGGAAGGTATCATCAAAGAAAGAGCAGGGAAACACCCTCCCAGGGACACAAAAAGGGGGACAGAGGACCCTGCAGAGGCCTCCACACCTTCAACATTCCTCCCTATCCTCTTTTACTCACTATGGTGACTCAGACACCCACGGAGTTTAGGGGAATAGAAATAAGGTTGGAGGCTTGTCCCCCAAAATCTTGAGTTATCGATATTTAGGTTCACTCACCATCCTTGGAATCTGGAGGCTGCGGCCCACCCTTGTCCTCGCTGCTGCCCCCAAGTGCAGGGACTTCCAATTCATTGGGACCCAGGTGTTCTGAATGGAGAAGTTCCTCTGAAAAGAACATATAGAAAGGTGGATGGGTTGGTGAGCCCAGGGACTCCACAAAGAAAACTGGGTGTGTGAATAAAACCCTAAGAGTAGAGTGATTGGATGATTACACAGATAGCAGAGGCAGCCCCAAGTGTGGGGTAGCAACAAGTGTATCCAGGATTCTGGGTGTTCTTAAATATCAGGAGGTTTAGGGTTAGGTATGGAGCATCCAGGAAAAAGTCACATAGATTTGGAGGCTGTGCAAGGTCACACTTTCTGGTAGTGACCACATTTTCATAATCTTATTTAGGCCCCTCCCCTTGAATCTGACTTGGTTTGTAACTCATTATAACCAATAGAATGTCTATCTAAGCYTTAAGAAGATCTGGAGGGGTTGAGGATGTAACTCAGTGGTAGAGTGCTTGCCTAGCATGCACAYAGACCTTGGTTTGATTCCCCATTACTGAAAAAAAATAAAAGGATTTGGCAACTTCTACTTTTCTGCTTTGGGGTGCCTGAGCCACCATGTAGGAAATCCATCTATCCTGATGGAGAGACCACATGGAGAGGATCCATGGAGAAGAGAAGCCCTGAGCCTATTTGGAGAAGAGAGACCCATCTACCAGAGAGTGCCTGTCCCAGTCAGTCTGCTGGCTAAATACAGCTGCACATTTGACTACTGGCAAGATTACCAGAGCAGCCAGCTGAACCCAGAACAAATGGCAGGATCATGAACAAAGAAAAATGGTCATTGTTTTGAACCACTAAGTTCTGGGATGGTTTGTTATATAAGAACAGATAACTGAAATCAGGGAAGGCTGAGGGTTGAGGGTCAAAGTCTGCCCTGAGAGATCTGGAATGAGGGCCCAGGGTCATAGCTACTCACGGATCTGGGGGCGCAGCTCCTGAGCCAGGTGGGGATTCTGATCAAGCAATCCCAGGCTCTGATTCATCCTTTCCTCAATCACCTGAAGGTGGGTCTGCACCTGCAGAGGGTAGGTTGGAAGGATGAAATGGGCAATACCGCCTTCCTCTTTTCCTGCATGAAGGAGGAATTCAGTAGGGTCCAAGGGAAAGTAGCCCATAATGATAGACAGCCACCCTGTAGGGAGTAAGGTTCAGGAATTGGGCTATAGGAGGGAAACTGAAGGAGAAGCAGGATACAAAGAGAAAGAAGAGATGTACACAGGACGGGAAGTGAGGGGCTTGGGAAAGGAAGTAAGGTACCAGGGAAAGAAGTGATTCCTAAGGAAGTGGGCACAGGAGACAAGGTAAGCCAAGGTAGGTGGGGCAGGGGCGGAAAATAGATCTGAGGAACAGAAAGTGGGGTTTTAGGGGATTCTAGAGACAGGAAGTGGGATTGGAGAGTCATATAGAAATGACAGCAGATTAAGAGCGAGACCTGGAGTTCAAGAGCACAGAACAGAGCATTCATGGACAGGAAGATAACCAAAAAGAAAGAATTAGAATCTGAAGAGGTTGTGAAGGGAATGGGAAAATAAACAAGGAGAGAAATGRATTACAGTAGATGGGGTAGAGAGAGAAGATGTGAGGGAAGGGGAGGGGGGATAGTAGGGGATAGGAAAGGTAGCAGAATACAACAATTACTAATAGGGCATTATGTAAAAATGTGGATGTGTAACCAACGTGATTCTGCAATCTGCATTTGGGGTAAAATTGGGAGTTCATAACCCACTTCAATCTAATGTATGAAATATGATATGTCAAGAGCTTTGTAATGTTGTGAACAACCAATAAAAAAAATCCTAAAAAAAAAAAAAAAGAATTAGAATCTGAGGGCACAGAACAGGGGTTCCAGGAAACAAAAGTGGAGTTAGAGAAGAAGGAGGATTGATGGGCAGGAACAGGTTTCTAGGTACAGGAAGAGGATTCTAGGAAAGGAAGTAGAAATTCAAGAGCCAGGAGGTAAGAATCCAAGGGAGGAGAAGGGGGTCAAAGGCCCAGTGCGTGTGTAGGGGCAGTGTACCAGAGTCAGGAAGTAGGGATCCATGGGACAGGAAGTGGAATTGAGGGACTGGAATGGGTCCTGGGGCACAGAAGGAAGGCACTCTAAGGGGATCCACGGGACAGAAAGAGGGTTTGAGGGACAAGAGAAGAATCTGAGGGACTGGGGTCTGAGGATGGCAAGGCATGTGGGGGCTGGAAGAACATGAACACCTGGAAGCGCATCTGCTGGGCCTTCTCAGGGTCCACTGCAGCCACGTGCTGGTAGTGCCGCAGCGTGTGCCGCTGCTCCTTCTGCTCTGCACGCAGGTAGCGCCGTAGGGCCAGAAGGACGCGCTCTGCCTGTGGGAGAGACAAAGGCTGCCCAGGCCTGCCCTAGTTCTCCTCACCTTCTGCTCTGTGCCCCATGGCCCTGTACCTGAGGAGGATCCCCTTGCAGCGCTGCCAGGAAGCCCTCCAGGGCAGCACGGCGCTGGTCATTGATGAGAGCGATGACTCGGGAGGCATGAGTCTCCACCAGACGCTGTCGCTCACTGGACACCTGCTCCTCCAGGGTCTGCAGAATGGACTGGAAGTGCTAGGGGTGGAGGTGGACAAGGGGTCAGGAGAGATAAAGAAGGGTGAAAGGCAGGGATATTGGGGCAGGTAAGGTGGGGTTCAGTGCATCTCGGCCAAACTAGGGTAGGACTAGGTCAAAGGAGACTGACTGGAAGGAGGGGCTATGGGACCTGGTAGAGTAGGGGTAGCACGAGGCTTACTGGAGTTAGTCTGAGGGTGTTGACTGGATGGGAATGAACTGGAAACAGAACTGATCAATGTTAAGATGCAAGGGAACTTTTAGGGAGATTAGGGTCAAACTGAGACAGGCTGCGCCCCAATAAGGCTGATAGGAGTGGGACCAAGGGTTCAAATGGGAGCTAATTGGAATGGGTTAAGGGAGGAGGGGCCAAGAGGTCAAAGGCCATGTTTACTGGAGAGGGACTGCATAAAAGTGACGTCAGAGGGGCAGGACCAAAGTGAAGGGGTTGGGGGCTAACAGGGCCATGAATACTTCCACAAAAAGGGCCCAGTTATGACAGCAGGAGGCTGGGGTTGGAAGAAGACTCCAGAGGCAGTCCTCAAAGGAAAGTCAAGGAGACATAGGGCTAAACCTGGCCAATCTGAGGAGGAGAGTAATGTGGTGTTAAAAGGAACAGGGCCAAATGTAGGGAAAAGGCCAAGGTAAGTAAGAGGGGTTGAAATGGATGGAGCAGAATATGGCCAGAGCCAGGCTGAGACCATGCACCCCTCATAGTGGACAGGCATGAGTGGGACTCACTGGAAGTTTTGTCTTACCTCGTTCAGGGCCTGTCTATCAGCTTTAGGCAGGTTCTTGGACTGGTTGTCTGCCATGGCCCATTCACGCATCACCTGGAGGGGGAGGAGCTTCAGGATCYGGGAGCCCACCCTGGTTGACCCGGCTAGTCTCCCAGTCCCTCTTTAAGACTTTGGAAAGCCCAGATCCCTTAAGTCCCACCGATTCTTGGGTTCCCCAAAGGGAAGACCTAGAGGAAGCTGAAAGTGGAAGAGCACCATGGACCAGAGTTTCCATGGAATTTGGTGGCATCTCAGTGGGATTCTGGGTGGGTCAGGGATGCCTGGTCATCTTACACAGTAGTGTTGAGGGCTCAGAACTGAAGGAGGCTGGGCATCCCTCAGATGTAGTGTCAATATCAATGTTTCTAAGGAATCTCCTGGTATTTATGGAAATCTGTGGGGGTGGTGTGGTCCTGGGGTCCCCAGTATTATCACCTCATTAATCTGGCGCATTCTACGCTCCTCCAGGTCCATCTTGGCCCTCAGGAACCCCTCATGCTCACTGATTTCCCCAGGCATGCCGAAGTAAACATCCACACCATCAGTGGGCCTTGGGGTGGGAGTGACTGCAAGACCAGGAATCAGGAGATCAGTCTGCAGCCCACCTCCAGGTCACCTTTCCTACCTGGAGAACTACATGTTCTAGAGACCATTGTGTATCTGGTTTAGTCATAGCTGCTAGGAATTACATGGGAGATGAAATTCTAGTCTGGGCCTACTCTTGCAAAGTTCAGGAATCCTTTATACTTCTGAGCTTTCCCCAAAATGATACTTATGACCTACCAAATGGCCCCTCCACTTCCAAGTGCCCCAAAGCTCTTTGCGTTGTTCACAGGCTAACCCTTCCACCTCTACTTAACCCAAAGCTACACGTCTCTTCCATTCTTCCCAAATGGGCCTCTCCCCTTCAGGTCCTTCCCAAAGATGCTATTATACCAAGGCTCCCCAAATCACCCTTTCCTCTATGGTAGAGAGGACTGGTAGATTGCCTGACCTTTGCTGACCACTGCAGGGGTATGGGAACTTGGGAGCAGGATTCTTTCTTCTTCCTGTTCTTCGGCTTGAGGGGGCTCCACAAAGTAATCATCTACTGGCTGTAGGAAGGATTCTTCCTCTTCTTCATCCTCATTCCCCTCTGTTCTGGCCCGCAGGGGCCAGGACCGGGTAGAGGGGTCACTGAGAGAACAGAAGATTCAGTCTGTAAGATTCTGAGCCTAGGCTGCCATGTTTCCATCCCCTGCCTCAGAAATCTTGGGATGGGCATGGAGGGTTCCCTCCCACTCACCCAACTGCTGTCCCAGATGGGTCAGGGGTCACTGGAGGAGGGCAGCACACATACTCCACACCTCGGAATCGATCTGTACCACAGGGTAAAAGCATGCCCGAGCCATGAAGGATGAGGCCTTGGGAGCTGCAAGCCTGTAAGAAGAGTGGGCCCAGATGCCAGGATTGTAGAGTAGGAGGGTATAGAGGGGAGCTTTGAGAGCTGGTCTTGGGGGATGAGGAGGCTGGAAGCCTGGATTCCTGGCTCTAGAGAAAGGGTTTGGGGGATAGAAGTGCTAGATCCCAGTGGGAAGAGGGAGCTATAGGCCTGGACTCCTGGGTTTGAGGGATGGGGAAAGGTGGGCCAGGGTCTGACCTCTTGTGCCTCCTGGTGCCTCCGGGTGGAACTCTCACACTGGTCCATGCGTTCCTGGTGTAAGAACCGACAACCTTCTGGCACCAGTAGAGCCTCACTCACAAACTCACCAGCTGAGGAAAGGGGGACACCAGACTAAGGCTCTCCTACAGCCACCAGCCTCATGCTCCGCAGAATCCAGATATTTTATCCTCCAGCTTCTCTGCCCCACTCTCAGTTCAGATGCTCAGCCCTCTAATGTGGGTCCGAGACAGGGGCTCAGAACCTCCTCTCTGGGAGACTCCCACCTCATTTCCCTTCTCCCAGCCTGTGACTCACGAAGGCAGCGGAAAGGCACAACCTGGTGGTGAGGGTGGGCACAATGGCCACCCCGGGCACCCTCGCACCAGCGCTCCATTGGGATAGCCTGTGCAGCCTGCTCCACACGTGCGATGTGCAGCTCCGGATACATCTRAGGGCACCAGGAAAGGGCAGTCAACCCACGGTCCCACCTTGCCAGCCGCCCATCTCCTTTTCAAGGGTCTAGTATTCATACGGACATTTCCTCCCTAGTCCCTGCTTCTCCATAGAAGCAGCCTTAGATGCCAAGTCCTTCCTGCCCATTGGTCAAATCCCCTAGTGCTCTTCCTTTAAAATCTGGCCATCTTTAGGTGCTCTTTTCCTGCCCAGTTTCTTTATGGAGGTCCTTCCACCTAACCCATCAGCTTAACCTCTCTAAGCCCCTTACTCTGGTTACTCTTCCCCTCCCATCAGGTCCCTCTCAGTAGATCTTACAGGTTTTCTTTATATTAAGCCCTCCTTTTTAAACCACGCCTCCTAGCTATCTATTCTCCCATTGAGTTCCACCGTTCCTCCCCATCTTGCTGGTCCCTAGGTTTCTTTTACTTCTTTGCCACGCTCCTTCCTTAGCCTCTCCCACCTACAGCTGTACTCGTGACAAAAATCCACCACGTATCTCTAAACTTTGCCTCTTCATTGGGTATCTTCCTTAGCTGGCATTCTTGCGTGGTTCTCCACTCTCCTTAGTTTCTCAAAACAGGTCTCACCCTAAACTAGCCTTGCTTCTTCGTGGGGCACGCCCCCTAGCTTCCCTTCTACTTAAATCCCACAAGTCCTTGGATCCCGCCTTTTGCAAGTCTAGCTTCTTAGCCTAGACCTCGCCCCTTCTGGAACCGGCTTTCCCGCTGACCACGCCCCTCTCGTTGGTCCCGCCCACCTGTCTGCAGTACTCCAGCACGCGCTGCGGGTCCCGGAGACAGCGTCGTGAGCGCTGTGGGTCTGGCTCCCAGCGGCCGGTGCGCAGGTCCCGGTGAAGGGTTAGGCGCCCGCATAGTCCGGCCACTTGCGCTGATCCCGGAGCCTGGGAGTGGAGGCGGAGGAGACAGTGAGAGCCTCGGGGAAGCTGACGTACGGGGTCTTTTGCTTCCTAAGACCCAGCTACTCATATCCCCAATACCAGCCCTCCCCCCAAGCACCGCACACCGGCCTCGGTGGAGGCACCGTTCCCTGGGAAACAGCTCCTGAAGGGCGGGAGCGCCCCAGCTCTCCCGTTGCTATGGCGACCCAGGTCCCCCGGGTTTCTCGCGGCCTTGTTGCTGCGGAGACAGGCTCCGCCCCCACCCCAGCGCTGCATAGACCGAGTCGGAAAGGGTTAAACCTGAATCGTGGGGGAGGAGGCCAGAACCCAGGCGTTCTGGCCCCTCCTCCCTCCATCCCTAGTTCAGGCTCCTATTGCGGGGGTGCGAAGACTACAAGGCCTGGCTTCCCAGCGGGCCTGGACACCAGGGCCTTGGGATTGGAGAGCTGCATTCTGTTTGGGGGGCGGGTAATGACTGGAGGCTTGGACTCCTGGCTCCTGCGAGCCTGTGGGCGCCCTCATGGGACCAGAGGATGCAAGGAGCCCGGATTCTTAGATTCAAGTGCCCTGCTGCCTGGTGGATCCTATGTTCAGGTGGCAAGGGGTTGGGGCCAAGTCGTCCAGGCTGAGAAGGTGTGGAGGAGTGGGCTGGACTTTTGGGTCCAGGGGCTCTGGAAAAGCCAGTTCCTATGCTGCGGGTGGGAGTGGGCTAGGACGTCAGATGATGGGGTAGCTGGGGCCTGGAATCCTGGGTTCATGAATACCTAGTGCTGTTAGGGGCTCCTGGGAGAGGGCCACCTGGCTGAAAAGACTGCGCTTTCTGCCCTGGACAGTCCRCATCGGGGTACCGAGGCCCGGTCCCACCCCTTCCCCCATCCCCCAGGACCCGGCCCGGCCTCACCTCGGCCGCGCCGGGGCTCCCACCGGCCAGGCTCCCGATGGCGAGCTGCGCGCGCAGGAGCAGCAGCAATAGTGGCAGCAACAGCGGCAGMGGCGGCGGGCCCCGGCGGCGGCCCAGACCGCAAGCGGCGGGACTGGCCGGCCCCATGTCCCGGCCCTCGCGCCCTCACGTCCCCTGCACACCGCCCGGCCCGGCCCGGCCCCAGCGGTGACAGGAGCTCCCAGCTCCACCGCCGCCGCCTCCTCCTCCCGCTGCCCCCGGGCTGCGCCGGCGCCGCCAGCCCCGCCCCGCGCCGGCCCCGCCTTCCCAGCCAGGACAATAGCGTGGCAGCTCTGCGCAGAGTGGAGCGGCTCCGGAACCCCGAGTGGGAGCCAGCTCCAGGCCCCCGCCCCTTGAGATTCCAGGCGACCTACCCACTCCTGCAAAAACCCAGCCAGGAGTCTGGTTCATGGGCTGTGCGGTTTGGGATTTTGAGTCCTCCTTCAGGGCTGTCATGCACAGCCCTCTYCTTCTTCCGATCCAGACACCCATAAGCGGCTTTGTCCTCCGCCAGGGATGCCAGCATGGGGAACCCCCCTCCCAATAAATTCCTCTCTGGAGGTCACAAGAATTCAGTCTCCCAAATTTCCTCAATCAAGAACACAGCGATGGAGATCCATTTCCATCCTCTTTCAGAGGAAGCCCCAGGCCCCTTTTCCCTCAGAAACAGAGGCAAACCACCCTCCCACCCTTTCTTCCTCAGACCCAGAAGTTCARTCTTCCTATCCTGCCTCTTAAGTCCCTGGTGTCAGGACCTTTAATTTCTAGCCCAAGGATCCATGAACCAAAGCTCCCAGGCGCTTTGTAAGGATGACCTAAGTCTGGCATCCATCAAGGACCCAGCACCTCAGGACAAAGGTCTGGCCCACTATCCTCACTCTAAGGACCAAGGGATTTCCATTTTCCCATCCCGAGTCTTCTCCCCTTCAGTGCTCACTGCTTTGTCTCCTCAAATGACAGCTTAGAATTCTATTTTCCCTGGCTAACTGGGGCAGCTGTGTCACAAGTGTGCATCAATATGGACTTTTATGTGTGTGTCCTGTGGGTACATGGGTATCTATATTTCTGTTTGCAGCTCTGAGTATGCAAGTGTATGTATAGATTTGTGTAGTTGTATAGTTAAAACATCTAGAGTGTTAAACAGGTAGCAAGGGACTGAGAGGTGGCTCAGAGTTTTGGCTCCTACAGTCACCTCCCAGGCTAGGGTAGAAGAAGACCCTTAGAACATGTTTGATCGACCTCTTCCTTGAAGAAGAAAAGTAATAATACCAGGAAAATCTTCCAGACATGCTTGCCTGTTTGGCTTTCTTTTTTTTTTAATAAACATAAATATTCTTATCCCCAGAGTCTCCTTCATCCCCACAATGATAGTTCTCACCCTATCCCCACTGTTTGAGTTCAGCTCTTTCTGAGTCTTTAAGGACGGTGGAAGGAATCAAGATGGCTGCACTTCTATTGGCTAAATAAAGTGCTGTCAGGGAAAGCCAGGACACAGTGAGAGTGTCTTTTTTCCCCCCTTGTTGGTGGTACTGGGTATTGAACTCAGGGGCACTTTACCATTTAGTTACATTAGCAATCTTTTTTATTTTGACAAAGGGGCCTTGCTAAGCCTCAGAGGTGGCTGGAATTACAAGCATGTGCCACCATGCCTGCTTATGTCTTCCATCTTGATCTGCCCTATACTATCTTTCTTCTCAATGCAAGTCGTCTTCTTGAAATATATTTCCTCAGTAACTAGAAATGACTTCCATTCCTGCCCCTAACTTTTATCACCCTCTGTCCTCAACCTCTGCAAAGGGCCTTGCATCTTGAATATCTTTGTGTGTGTGYGTGTGTGTGGGTGTGTGTGTGTGTTTTACTGGGGATTGAACCCAGTGCCTCTTTCAGACTAGGCAAGTTCTCGACCACTGACCTACATTCCTAAACCCTTGAATACCTTTTCCACAGCAGACTAGGTGGGCACAATGGCCATATTGCTTCCACTTGGGGCATTTGCTTTGGCTGAGTTCACTATGTATAAATGATCCTGATAATTGTAATGATCCTTCCCCCCCCACACCTTGATGTTCAACTTTGGAGGAATAAGGTTGTCATCTTGTTCTGGTCCCTCAGAAATCAGGACAACCCATTATGGCAAGTTGAAAATCCCAGGACTCTTCAGTTGGAGATGTCACACATGAGTCTGGAGACGTGGGTGGCTTGGCATGGGGAAGGCAGCATACGGGAAGGGGGGAGTCCCGGACGCCAGCTCTGGGGGTCCAAAGGATGTGGGTTTGATGTAGTTGGTGAAAGCTCGAGGATGAGGTGTGGTGAGATAACCTGCCCGGGCTCTGTACAGTCTGCAGGGGGGAACCATGTCCAGGTGTGGGTTGAAGTCATAGAAGGTAGGGGTCCCTGGAAGTCCAAGGGGGGAGGAGGGTGGCAGGAAGAGGCCTCCTCCTGGAGCTTCACCAAGGCTCAGGCTCACACTGACCCCTCGCACCTTGTAGTAACCGTTGGTTGGGTCCTGAGGGGACAAATGGGACTTGGATTGGTAACACATATAAAAGTACAGGGAAGTGAGGATCAAGGATGGACAGACAGACTGAGATAGATTCCAGACCTACAGAGAGGCGAAAAGACAGAAGCAGGAGCAGGAAAAGACCCAGAGACAGAGAGACAGACATAAAAACTGGCAGAGAGACAAAGCAAGACACAAAAATAGCCACAAAGACAAAGGGACAGGAGACCAGCAGAGAAAGCTAGAGACAGGGACAAAAAAGAATGAGACAGAGACAGAGGAACAGGCCTACTGAGGGGAGGGTGGTGGTGCAGAGGAGGGGGCAGAGGGAAGGACAGCCATTCATTCATCTGCCTAATAGCCCCTGGGCTTTGATTTTATATCATGCCCTGGGCCTCTGCTGGAGACATGTTCAGAGGAGGCCTGGACCTTGTCTTCATGGAGATTTCAGGCCAAGAGGGAATGACAAACCCCCAGATAGAGCAGAGCCCAGAGAGGTCAGAGATGTGACTAGGAAAAGAACAGGCAGTGACTGGGGCTGACAGGGGACCCTTTGGCAAAGTGATCATGCTGTGACAGGGAAGCCCAGGACMGAGTGGTTATGGCTGTGATGGAAAAATTGCAGGCAGAATAACCAGGCTGTGATGAGAAAAGTATGGGCTTCCTAGAATAGGCAAAGTCTGGGCTGAGACTGGAGGAATAAAGGAGGGAATTAGATGGAGGTAGGAACGTGGAGGGTTTCAGGCCTCTGCTAAGTGCAGAGGAAAACGATGAGGAGGGAGGGGACTGGGGCTRGAACCAACAGGGCTGTCCTGAGGTGGGATCCCAAAGGTGGGATGGGTTTGGGGAGATGCGGCGAAGCTAATATGGGACCTAGTRGGTAGAAGGGGCCTGGGAAGACCATGGATAACCAAGGAGAGACATCCAGAAGGCCTAAAACATGACTGTGCCGGGGGAAAGAATGTCTGGTCAGGACTCAAGCTGGAGACTAAGGCCAGGGCAGATAAGTGGAATCAACAAATAGTGCAAATTAGGGCTGTGGAGCTGGATGATAAGGCCCAAGAGGGGTGTGTGTGTGTGTGTGTGTGTGTGTGTGTGTGTGCGCGCGCGCGCGCGCGCGCTCGCTCTCACACATGCATAAGTGATAGATCTCAGGTCTAGAGGAGACAGAATGAAAATGGAGGAGACAAAAGCAGGGAAAGAGTTATAGACACAGTGAAGGAGCCCCCCACCCCCACCCCGCACCCTCCCATTCCTCACCTTGGTGTCCAGCGCCCCTTCCTCATCCAGAACCAGGTCACTATGGTCTGTGTGCACAATGGGGCCCTGGGGTATGGAAAATAGTGAGAGGGAGTGGTTAGAGGAGCCTCTTGCCCCAATGACAGACCCCAGAGACCCTTCAGCCAGCCAGTGGAGGCAGGCCACAGCGATCACTTGGGAGCAGGAATCTGGACTCAGGACAAGAGGCTGGGGGATATATTGGGCCTAGGGAATGATATGGTCAGGGGCATATGTGGACTGCGGGTGCATTTGGGTCTAGGATCACTGTTAGGACTGGGGCAGTATTTGAGTTTGTGGGTTGGACTAGGTTATTATTGGGGTCTGGAAGCACAGTCAGGTCTGGGACCCTTTTGTCTTACCCGTTCCTCACCGCTGCCTGTCTCCTCCTCTGGGCCCCGTGAACTGGAGCCATCACTGCTTCCTGGGATTCGCACCAAGTTCTTTTGCTTGGAGAAAGAGGCTGCAGCCCCAACAGTGAGAGGCTGAGGTGAGTGATGGGCAGGATCACAGTTTGTGGGGATCAATAAGCCACAACAGAGAGGACTGGGGTAGATTCGGTGGGGAGTCTGGGAGCCCATGATAACCTTGTCTTGGAAGTGGGTGGTGACACTGAGGACAATGTGAAAAGCTGAGGAGAACCAAACTGTGCAGGGGTAAGTCCCAGGGCCAGCAGTCAGTGGGCAGGCCATGTGTGGGGCTGGGGGCTTTGGGACTGGAGACTGGATCAGGCACTCACCCTTGCTGTGGCGCCAGCAGCAGAGGGCCACCCCAGTAATGACAATAAGAATGGTTGTGGCTGCAGCAGCTACCCCAGCCACCATCTGCACAGTAGGCAGCAAGTCTGCAGGGAGGAGAAGGGACATGCTGAGCAAAAGACTGAAGAACAACAGGGAAACTGGGGCTCAAGGCTCAGGCTTGAGATCTCTGGGTTCAAAAGGCCACCGAGTCTGGGAATATCCAAGGTGGGTTTTTGTTTGTTTGTTTGTCTTTTGCACTGGGGATTGAACCCAGGGGCACTTACTACTGAGCCACATCCCCAGCCTTTTTTTTTTTTTTTTGCATTTTATTTAGAGACAGGGTCTTACTGAGTTCCTTAGGGTCTCACTAAGTTACTGAGGTTGGCTTTGAACTTGTGATCCTCCTGCCTCAGTCTCCCAAGCTGTTGGGATTACAGGGTGCACTTAGTTTTGGACTTATGAACTCATGAATCTGAGGTTTGAAAGGTCTCAGAGTGTGTGAGTGTAAACTCCTGGGCTTTAGAGAGTCTTAGAGTTTGAGGAATCTTATTTTACAATTTCCTACATTTGTGGGCTCCTTTTTTGGAGTTCTTAAGTACAAGGAGTCTTCTGGTTTAGGATTCTGTACTTGAGGGAATTTATTGTTTGGGGGTCTTAGGATTCAAGGAACCCATAGTTTTGAGGTCCCCAATGTTTCATGCTCTCTACATTTGGTGGTCTTATTCTTTGGCAGCTCTACTCTGGGAATCCTGGCATTCCTGGGGTTTGAAATCCCCAGATTTGGGGTCTTTGAGCCAGTGTCTCACCTCTACGACCCAGACGGATCCGGGTGCCTCCCTCACCCAGCCGGTTTCGGGCACTGCAGTTGAAGCCACTGCTGAAGTCAGACTCCTGGGTCCCAGAAATGTGCAGCACAGAGATCAAACCTGGACCTTGTCCCCGGTAGCCCTCTGGGGCTGGAAACGTCTCCACCAGGAACCTGCCTCTTGACCCTGCCTCTAAGAAGCCTTCATCCCAAGACCAAACCTGGGGACACAAAGTAATGAGAGAGATCACTGAAGAGACTGGGGAGGGAGGGAAGAAGTGGGTGGGATGCAGGGAAAGTCAGAAAAAGTCACAGCAGCTTCAGGGGTGTGGCTGGGCAGGTCAAGGTAGGGAGAACTCTTCCTTACCACAGCTTCTGGGGCTGGAGAGGAAAACACTAGACACTGGAGGCGAGCAGGGCCCCTGAGGAAGGCAGGCGCAGAGTGCAGGGCCATCACTACCGGGGGAGCTGGAATGCAGATTGTGGACCACTCAGGAGAGGTCTCGCCCTCCCCAGAGGGAGACCAGGCCTGAGCACTCCCAGCTAACCCCAACCGACTCTCAAAAGTCTCCCTTTCAACAGAATGGCCTGCAATCCGCACGCCCCCATCTACAAAACTTTCAAGGTCATGCCCACTCCCTTTAGACCTCACCCCCTTTGACCACTTCCTATCCCATGACCCTCCCGATCTCTAGAAAGTCCCTCTTGCTCACCGTTCACGGTCAACCTAGCCTCGGCTGTGCCACCCCCCAGGCCCAACAGCCCCGGCTCAGCCCGGCACACATAGTCGCCTGCATCTTCRGGTCCAACCGACTGAAGACGCAGCGTGGGCCCGGAGCTCAGCACCTGGGACAGTGAAAGGGCATCAGGGGTGGGACTTTGCGAGGAAGCCCGAGCCATGCCAACTACCGCCACAGGCTCCCAATCGAGCTTCACCTGCGCGCCACCGCGGCGGGTCCAGGTTACCCGTGGGAGGGGGTTCCCGCGCCAGGCACAGCTGAAGGAGGCGTCCTCCCCCACGTCCACGGACATGGATTCTGGCTTTGCCTTCAGAATCGGCCCAACTGGAGGAGGAAGAGAAGGGGTCACATGGCTGGGGCAGGATAAGCCCCTGGTTTGGGATCAGCCTCTCGGAAACGCATATTCAACAGCCTAAGTACACCCACAAATTGTCCACGCTTACACGCCCCTGMCCCGCCCCTGCCCCATTTTGGCACTAACCCAGCACAGCCCAATCCTGCCTATATGCTCTTTGCAGCCCCAGGTCTTCCCACCGTGCGCTACAGCCACTCGCCGCTTTGGTCACACCCACGGCCCCGCCCCTGCTCACACAGCACGTCCAGCGCGGTGCTGCGGTTGGCGCTACCCACGGCGTTGCTGACCTCGCAGGACACCGGCTCGGTCAGGAATGAGGCGTCGGCCACCACCTCCAACCTTGGTCCTCGGGCCCCAAGCACCGGAGAACCTCCTTTTGCCCACCTGCAGAGATGATGGTATTGTTAATGTCTCAGTCTCCCCAAACAGGTGCTCTGGCTGGAGAGAGGTAGTCTTCYTCCTCACCTGTAGCCAGTGACAGGAGGTTGGGCTGTAGCCTGACACAGGAAAGTGACCTTCTCTCCCTCCTGCACAGTCTGTGGCTCAGCAGACAGAGTCACCACTGGGGGGTCTATAAGGATGGGACAATGGTCAGAGTGGGCAAAGACCTGGAACACCTTTATTGCTGATCTAGGTAGGAATCCAGTCCCCAGACCCTCTAACCCACTAAGCTGAATCTGTACTTCCCTCCTTTCTTTGAGCCATCAGTCTGGGCTTCCAGTTCCCAATGAGCCATCTTTCTGTCCTCTCCTGCTATAGCAGATCCAGGAATCTAGGTCCCACCCCTCTTCCGAAGGGCCAACTGAACTCACACTGCAGGCTCAGTGTGATAGCTGTATCTCTCCCTGTAGGCAAGGCCTGGCTCCTGGCTCTGCAGACTAAGGTGGCTCCATCATCATGGCTGGAAGGGGTCAAGAATAAGGTGCTCTCCACTGACCCAGTGGTTCCTTCCTTCAGCAGGTTCTAGAGGTTATGGATAATAATAATGATTTCATCTATCCCTTATATATGGTAATGCTTACTATGTGTCAGGCACAYTCCTAGGCATTTACAGGTATTATTTTATTCAATCCTCATAATTATCCTATAAGGTACATACTATTAATCCCATTGTACAGATAAAGAAACTGAGGGTCAGAGAGGTTAAATAACATACTCAATATCAATCAGTTAGCAAGTGTCTGAGTTWGGATTTGAATCCAGGTAGTCTGGCCTTAGAGTTCTTATCTTGAATCACATTCCAAGGGTCCTAACCTTTGAATCCTTGCCCCCCCCACCCTGTACTCTGGGTGAATGATCAAAGTGGACCCTAAGTTTCACTGAATAGGCAAGAACCAGCAAAAGGATTTGGACCCKACCTGGTGGAAGGTGGTCCCCTCCAGCCGGACACCATCTCGAAACCATAGCAGYTCAGGGATGGGGCGGGCATCTCCACGGCTCTGACAGGTCAGATTTGCAGGAACTCCAACAACCAGAGACACAGAGGGGCCGCCCAGCACCTGGGGAGCTTCGGGGGGCACTGTATGGTAGATCTTGGATCAGAACTGGATCCTGGGCCCAGAGACCCTCATCTTCTCAGCTCCAACCAACCACTTTCCTGGTTTTTCTGAATTCCAATACTCCTAGCTAGTACTGGCTGCAACCCTCGCCCCCAGCTCTTAAGGACAAGTGGGCTGGATCCTCACCCAGTACGTGCAGTTGGGCTGGTCGTGATCGAAGACCTGCTTGTGTAGCCTGACATTCATACGATGCTTCATCCTCTAGCTCCACTGGCCTAATGTGGAGGTCATGCTGGCCACTGGCTGCATTCCCAGATATCCAGTACCGGGACCACCCTAAAGTCAGGGGAAAGGCAGTCACACCRCAGTTTGAGCTCTTGACCTCTGGTCTTCATCCCCAGATATACCACACCAAAAAATGACCCACACATTCCATGGTTAGACACTTAAAAAGTGTGCTGTAGACCCAGAGAAATAAACCCCATTCCCAATGCAGAAAATGTGGGGGTGATAAAATCAGAAAGGAAAACAAGAAAATGACTGCTATAAACATAAGGTTAGCACCTACTTCTGGGCTATGATRGTGGAAAGGAATAAGGGGCATTTGGGGGGAGCTAGCAATGACCCAAGGTATTGGTTACATGACTTCTATAATTTATGTTTACTGCACTTTACGCATTTCTATAATATTTTACAGTAAAAAATAATAATCCCAAACTCTATGAGTCACCCCCAAAGAAGCATCTCAATAACCCTGACTCCCAGTGTTTACCTGATCCCATCAATTTCCCAAACTTGAGAACGTCATAATAGAAACTTCAGATACAGCCCAAGCCCAGTAGTCCCACTCTAGTGCTAGTGCTCCCTGAGTAGGGGACAGCCTCACCTGGCAGGTCCCTTTCTCCCCCTAGAGCCAGCCCATCCTTAGTCCATTGAACGAGACCCCTGTATGCGCCCAGAACACAGGGCAACCGGGCTTCCTCCCCCAGCAGCACCACCAGGTCCTCAGGCTGTTGCAGGAAATGGGGCGACCGGCCTAGGAGAATGGGGAACAGCAGATCTGAGCTTAGCGCATTAAAGAACTCCYTCACTCAGGACCCAGGGGTCCAGTTCCCAACCTGCTCGCTCTTTGGATTCTGAATTCAGAATTCTCCTCCCTCAGACCCAGGAGTCCCAGCCCCAAAGCGGTTGTCAGCAAACAATCCTTCCCAATTTCGTCGGCTCCGGTCTTGGGTACCTGCACGCGCTCTAAAGCAGAAGAGGAGGACGAGGAGGGCGGGGACCAGCATCCTGAGTGTGTGTCCCCCAAGGTCCACAAGACTTGCTGTTGCACTGGCTTCGCTCCAATTTCCTTAGTTGCGGATCTCTCCTCAGCCTAGAGGGGAACCCCCCCTTGCACCCTACTCTTCGCCCCAGACTGGAGGTCCCCTGGCTCTGGCCTGAAGTCCTCCAACTTTGCTCATCCGCAGCCTCTGAAGCTCTGAAACGCCTGCGGGTTCCGCGCGCTGGGTCTCTCGGAGACCCCAAGAGGGCCTGATCCCGCCGGCTCCGCCCCCGCCCGCCCCCTGGGAGGACCGCCCTCTTCCCATTGAGAAACTCCCGCGGTCTGGGCTCCGAGGAAACCGGCGCGGGGCGGGGGCGGGGGCAGCCTAATTGGGGTCTGGGAGCCGGAACACCTGGGTGCAAGAAGGGGGTCCTGCCTGGAGTGGACACCTGCGTCCTGCCGGCTTTGGGGAGAGTCCTGGGAGCGGGTGGTGAGGAGGAGGAGGAGGAGGAGCAGGAGGAGAAAAGGGAAAGAGTGGAAGAAACTTGCTCAGCCCGGGTCCTGCAGGGACTGTGATGAGTGGAAACCGAGCTATAAACGGGAGCCCCTGGGGCCTCGCCAGTTTCCGAGCCCTGGGGAGGCGGGGCCCAGGACTCCCGTGGGTCTTCGGGTCGCGGAGAGGGCACCCGGGTGCGGGAGGGCCAGCTGGGACCCCTGAGAAAGGGGGTTCTGCTCCCCACATCACACAACTCCTCAAAAATATCGCTCTGCTGCCTTGTTATTGCTGCAAACCGTAGCACACTCCAAACCCAGGAGTCCAGGCCTCCAGTCTCTCCTTTCCCAGGACCCCGCAGTCCGGGCCCAGCCCCTCTCCCCATTCCGCGGGGGCTGGGCCCTTGGGCCTTGGTTGCCAGGCGACGGCTGGGAGGCGGCGGTGCCCGGGATGGGACAGGCGGGGAGGCTGGGAACTGCGCAGCTTGTTCTGACGGCTCCATGAAGCCCAGCTGGGGCGTTCCCACGCTGCGCAGCTGGCCGAGCAGGTGGGAGGAACCCTGAGCTTATTGCGGGGTCTAGGGTCTGGAGAGATGGGATCCCGGGTCAGACATTTGTGGACCTGTAGGGATTGAAGTCCACATTTAGATTCTCAGTTGCTCCTGGGCTCTTAGACTCCAGCCTCCCTAAATGGCAGGGGCTTGGATTTCCAGGACTGTAGGGACTGGTGGTCGAGATCTCTGATGACCTGAACTCCCGGTGCTTTGAGGCAAGCAGCATGGTGCAGTTGGGTGATGATCAAATATCTGGTCTTAAGTCTTAGAATCAGTGGATTTAACCACAATCTCTCTCCCATCCCCATACGGACCCAGGAGGATTTGAAAAGCTACAGACAGTAACATCTGTCCGAAGTCCCGTGGGGGGAGGGAGGCGGTAGGATTGGAGATCTGAACTGCTGGGTCCTTGGAGAGAGGAGGGTCCTGGGGGCCCAGACTCCTAATTCTGGGGGCATGAATTCCTGGCTTCTGGGTTGTGGATCCAGGGCATGGATGTTGAATTAGGATAGGCTCAGATCTAGGACTCCTGAGTCTTGGGGAGGAAGTCAGGTGATGAGACTGTTTTTCCAGACACCTGACATCGCTTCCCCTTCCTGGCTCTCTGGGGTCACAGGCATGGAAAAATGGAGAGCCTGAGGTCCCTGGAGCATGCAGAGAAGGAAAACAGCCAAGGTGGAAGGTAGAAGGTTTGTGCTAATTAAAGGTCCCAGCAACTGACAGCTCTACACCCTGACCTCCAGGGACACCATCTGGTGAGGGCCTCATGGCAGACCCTCCCAGGTCTGCATCCAGCCCAATTCCCAGGAGGTGTGGGGGGCAGTTGGGAAAGGGAGTGTGGGAGGAGGGCAAGGAGTCAATAATGGAAAGCAGGGGAGAAAAACCACAGGGTGCATCAAGGGTGGAGCTGCCCCAGCTCAGGCCAGATGCCTTGCCTTGTTCCTGGAGGAGGATCAGATAGGGGGTCACAGGGAGGGGGAAGAAACATGAACCGTTGTAATTCCTGCAAGAGATAAGCAGACAGAAGGAGCTTATCCCATGCGAGTGTGTATGTACACACTGGGGTGGAGAGGGCGGGCCAGTTAGCATATGGTTATAAAATTCAGGGATGTGAGAATCAGGACTCAGAGCTGGAGAAACTAATAAGAGAAAGAGGCACAGGCAGGAAGATTCACTGAGAACAAATATTTATTGAGTTCCTGAGGTATGAGAGACTGAATGTGAGGTAGGAGCAGCGAGAGCTGAGAACAGAGACAGAAAAAAAAATTTAAAAAAAATAAACAGGCTTAGAAAGACAGTGGAATAGTTAATAAAAGGTTGACTGAGATTTAACTATGAGAGAGAGAGAGAGAAAGAGAGAGAGAGAGACGTTTCAAAGAGATAAAGATAAATCATAATGGATAAAGAAAGGGACTAAGACACACAGGGAAGGGAGGAAGAGAGGGGGGAATGGTAGGAATGGAGACAGAAGCTCACGGCATCTTTCCTAAAGGTCACCCACACTAAAGGCTGGCAGATTTGGACTCATCTTTTCCTTGCACCGTTCTGACTGCCCTGAGCCCTGCACACTCACACAAAAGACACTCTGACCCAGGCACACACTCAGCACACACCTTCACAAATCACAATTCACTCTTGGCTTCCTTCCTCTCACACTCATGCTCACACACAGGCGTGCTCTCACACCCACATGCACACACAGGTAACTTCCCTCTCTCCCACACTCTCCCAGTTTCACATACACTTTTGTACACTCCCCAGCAGAGATCCCATATACACTGAGGGGCTGATTGTCTACTCAGGAAAGGATGGGACTTGCCAAGGTCATGCTCTGGACAGGGAAGAGCTGGCCCAGCTCTCTACTCCCTAAGCTGAACTAGGAGATGACCCATGTCTGATCTGCTCTCCCTTGGGATTATGGGAGCTGGGGAGGCACCGAGGAATGTGCCTGGCATGTGCTGACAGGGGATTTCATGGTCCAGCTGGGCCAGGAGGAGCCTGCTGGGCGGAGGCTGGAGTTGGAGACTCAGGAGTGGCTTGGCTCTGCCACTGTCTGCCTCTTTGCTCTCCTGGGCTGATGGGGCTCACTGGACTCTGAGCAGCGAGTCTTTTTTTTTTTTTTTTTTTTGTGGAACTGTGAGTGGTGGAAGAGGGTGAAGGGGCAGGGGGTAGCAGGAGAGAAGAGAAACAGACTGTCAAGGAGATGGATGGACAGATGGATGGATAGATAGATTGAGGTGGAGAGACAGGCCAAGGGTGGTGGTGGGGGGGAGGGGGGAATTCAGAGAGTTGCTCAGAGAGAAAGAGCCTGAGGCAGGGAGAGCAAGAGACAGAGGAGGAGACTCAGAGAGACTGGGACAGAGGGAGAATGAGATGGAGATAAAGAGACACTCCCGGAGAGAGGAAAATGGAGAGAGTTGGAAAAAGAGACAAAAAGAGAACAAGAGGCAAAGACGCAGAGAGAGGGAGTCAGAGAAAGGTAGTGGCAGACATGAGTGGCAGCCAATGAGCACTGTGGGAGCCACGGCCAGAGGAACTGGAATGGCCCTGAGGACACCCATCAGGGCTCCCCTGATGCTCATGGGGCTGCTGACCACAGGTGAGTGGGACCCTGGCTCTGTACCCAGTGCCAAATGGCCTTCATTTCCCACCTTTTAGACAAACGTCTGCCCCTTCTTGCTGATCCTTTTGTGTCTCCAGGCCTGGCTCAGTTGCCAATCCCTGCCTCGGCCCCTCGTGGTTTCTGGGCCCTGTCTGAAAACCTGACGGCTGTGGAGGGGGCCACAGTTGAGCTGCGGTGCGGGGTCACTGCCCCTGGCAGTGTGGTACAATGGGCCAAAGATGGGCTACTCCTAGGCCCCAACCCTGGGATCCCGGGCTTCCCGAGGTACCGCCTCAAAGGAGATCCTGCTAAAGGTGAGAGATCAGAGCCTGAGACTCTGAGCCACCAGCAGAGGCTGTGGCCTTGACCCTCTGGGCCTCTTCTGCAGGTGAATTCCACCTGCACATTGAAGCATGTGACCTCAGCGATGACGCCGAGTATGAGTGCCAGGTCAGCCGCTCAGAGATGGGCCCCGAGCTCCTGTCTCCCAGAGTCATCCTCTCCATCCTGGGTATGGGTGAGAGACCCCCAGGACCCTCAAGTCTGGGCTTCTAGTCCTCTTCTCCCCCAGGACATGGGAGCTGATGGTCCCAGATCCTCCTCCCCCAGATCCTGGGTACAAAACTCATTTCAGAGCAAGGAGACTTGGCCCACATCCTCCTGTCTTTCAAGTGGTGGAGGCTGATTCTACATCCTTTCTCATCAGTTCCCCCCAAGGTGCTTCAGCTGACCCCTGAGGCAGGGAGCACAGTCACCTGGGTAGCTGGGCAGGAGTATACGGTCAGCTGTGTGTCTGGGGATGCAAAGCCAGCACCTGATATCACCTTTCTCCAAAGTGAGTGTGGGTGAACTGGTGGGGTCAGTGTGATGTCCCTGGAGTAGGGAGTCCATGTGTTATGCTAGGTGCCTTCCTAGGGACCCAGAAAATATAACCAAGATAGGACCCTGGAGTAGGCAAGGGGAGAAGCTGAGGCCCGAATGGGATGCACTGGATGGGAGGGGACACCCGGCGGGAGGCATCCAGGAGACCACAGGAATGCTGGTCGGGGGCCTGGAAGAAGCCAAGATTCAGGCAAGATGTGGGCAGTGAGGGTAGCACAGGAAAGAAAAGCTGAGGTGATGGGGGCATGGGGTACAACCTAATAAAGATGCCAACAGAAAGAAGAGGCCCAGGACCTGAGAACTCCAATCATTTGGGAAAATTCCAGGGAACAGAAGTGAGGGAGTCCTAAGTCTTACAAGATAACAGGAATTTCCAGGGCACGAAGCTGGCACCTCAGGTTCTTTTCCTCCAGAACCAGGAGGAAGGGGGCATCATGACCACCCCAGAATCTACTGTGGGGAGTGCCCAGCACCCCTGCAGCCCTCTTGTTGCCC